ATTATAAGAAATCTAGTAAGCTGTAGGTAGACAACTTTCTCAAGGACTTTCCCCATTAATGGCAGATTTGAGATGGGACGATAGTTGTTAAGTACCGTAGCATCCAGACTGCTCTTTTTTAGCAGGGGCCTGATGACTGCAGTTTTCAGGGCCTTTGGGAATATTCCAGAATGAAGGGACATGTTTACTATCTGTGTGAGTGAAGGTAACAGACTGCTCAGAACAGACTTCAGAAATCTAGTGGGTAGTACATCCAGGCTGCATGTGGAGGAGCTCAAACTGGAGATTATCTCTTGGACAGTTTTATCATTTACAGGTGCAAAGTGAGTTAGCTCAGAGAGCCTTTCTGGCTGTTGGATTGTTATCTGTGGATTGGAGACAATGGCGTTTTTGATGCCTTGAACCTTGTCATTGAAAAAATTAGCAAACTCATTGCATTTACGTTTGGAAGTAAGCTCTAATGGCATTTGAACAGGGGGGTTTGTTAATCTATTAACTGTTGAGAACAGAACAGGCAGATTGTTGCTGCAGCCTTCAATCATTTCAGAAAAATACTTTTCTCTCGTACTACGTAGCACCCGGTTAAACTCGCAAACCTTATCTTTGAAGATCTCGTAATCAACCTGGAGGTTGGACTTGCGCCACTTCCGCTCAGCCCTCCGGCACTTTCTCTTTTGTGCCCTGACCGAGTCTGCTTTAGCCCACGGCGCCTTCTGCTTATTTTTCACTATTTTAACCTTCACAGGAGCGATGGTATCCAGAACTTTCAAAACACTAGAGGTGACAGAGTTAAACAGTTCATCTACAGTAGAATACGATGCATTCTCAAAGTTTATCATTCCCATAAATAGTTCACTCGTATTTTCATTTATGGGCCTTCTTCGAACAGTTGCAGAGTCTACTGGTGGTTTGTTAGTGAAACACATGTCAAAAAAAACACAGAAATGATCCGAAAGAGCAACATCGACCACGTTTACATTTGAAATATTCACCCCCTTAGTAACTAACAGATCTAGAGTGTGCCCTCTGCTGTGGGTGGGGCCACTTACGTGCTGAGTGAGATCAAAGGATTCAAGTACAGAACTCAGCTCATTTGCATTTCTGTCATCAACATTATCCACATGAATATTAAAATCACCTGTAATAACCAAACTATCAAAATCTGTGCATACAACTGAAAGCAACTTGGTAAAATTATCAATAAAACTGTGACATGACTGCGGTGGCTTGTATAGGGCAATGAAGAGTATTGGAGGAGATTGTCTTTGTTGTATTTTAAAAGACACATATTCAAATGACGAAAACTTCCCAAGAGACATTCTATGGGAGACAAAGTGGTCTCTAAAAATGGCAGCTAAGCCTCCTCCTTTTTTGTTTTCCCGTATTTCAGATTCAAACTTGAAATTTGGTGGTGATGCTTCTATTAAAACTGCATTTCCTGAATTTTGGTCAAGCCAAGTTTCAGCCATGAACATAAGATAAAGATTATGAGAACAAATACAATTATTGATTAAAAAAGACTTGTTACAAAGAGATCTGACATTAAGCGTAGCAAGTTTCAAAGTTTCAGTATCAGCGGTTGCGGTCGGCAGATTCTTATACGGAACAAGAATTAGATTTTCCAGATTAGACTGATTAACTCCAGATGTTTTTCTGTAATGTATTCTTTGTGTTATCACTAAGGGAATGGCACAGGTGGCTTCATGACAGGGCCCCAGCCGGGTCTCTCCTCTAACTAGACTGCCTGTGGCTGCGAAGCAGAGACCCTGTGCATCCTAGTGTTTAGAGAAAAGAGGGGAAGGGGAAGGCGGGGGAGGAGGATGGAGAGGTGGGCGGCTTTTGGGTGTTGAACGAGGGGGGCAGGGAGGTGGAGGGGTTTTCGGTGATGGGCCGGGGTGGGCTGAGGCAGAGGTTTTGGATGTTGAACGAGGGGGAAGTGGGGGTGGAATGGTCACGAGGTTAGGGGAGGGACTGGCTGAGGGTTTTTGTAGGTGAATTGGAAACCCTAGGTGGTTTTGGAGGTACATATGGGGAGTGGTTTAGAATGTTGGACAGGACTCTAGATCTAGCTAATATGGGTGTGAGAGGAATAGTCTTCATGGCCGATTTTATTAGCCCTGCAGAGTGTTCAGGTAGGTCTAACAGTGAAGGCGGGGATGAAAAACATAGGGAGGTGTCCCCATTCTCTCTTGATGGAGTGGACGTGGCAGGGGGGACCCAAGACAGGTCCATGGGAGGTGGCGAGGGAGTCTTTGATGGAGGGGCAGGTGGTTGAGGAAAGCCCAGCACAGGCCTGTCTGCTGTAGCCTGGGGTAAGGATGGGGGCTTCAGAGGTGCTGTAGATGAAGAAGGCGTGGCTGCTTTGGAGCAGGCTGGGGATGAGGATGTTGGTGGTGGTGGTCGTGCAGCTGGTGCTGCTACTGGTGATGATACAGCTACTACTGGTGATGATGCAGCTGCTGCTGGTGATGATGCAGCTGCTTCTGATGACAGTGGAGGTGTTGAGATCCTTTGAGGCGATGATGGTGTTGAGATCCTTCGAGGTGATGGAGGTGTTGAGATCCTTCGAGGTGGTGGTGGTGTTGAGATCCTTCGAGGTGGTGGAGGTGCAGAGACTTTTAGAGTCGGGTTCCTCCCTTTCGATGGCTGCATGCGCTGTGCAGGCTGAGGTCTCAGGGCAAAAGAAAGGTTATCCATCAACACTTTTACTCCGTAAGTGTTCAGATGTGGCCCTTTCCCTTCAAAAAGCTCATGCCTATTCCAGAACAGATTAAAATTCTCAATGAAGGCAAGTCCTCTGCGTGAACATTCGTTGAGTAGGAAAGTATTTAGCTGTTACAGACGACTGAATTTCATTTGCTTCCCGTCCACATTTGGTAGTGGGCCACTGATAACGATTGTTGTGTCCATTTTAGCAAGGTCGTCCAATAAGAGACTTTTCACTTGTGTTGTCATAGACGTCTACTGCCCCCACGTGGATCAACAATCTTTTTACCCCGCCGGTCTCAGACAGAAGCCTCGGAGCCAACCGCCTTATCTCATCCACTTTAGCAGAGTGTACTGAGTGAACCTTGAGATTACGCATGTTTACATTCCTAATCGCCGAATCCCCGATAAAGAGCGACTCAGCTGCATTTGACCTTGACTGAGACTGAGACTGGGACTGAGAGACTACTGCTGATTCATCTTCCAAAAGTGGTGAAAAGCGGTTTCTTGTAATTAAAGATTTTTGCTGTGGCATTATGACACTCTTGTTATCATTAGCTTTGCCTTGTTTGGGCTTGGCACCATATGTGTTCCAACAATTGTCTCTGTTGATTTTGGGAAATGAAATAGCGTCATCATAACTTACGTTCTGTCCATTTGGTCCATTTCCTTTCACTGGTATTGTTGTGTTCAGCCCCAATTCTGATTCAAGCACAAACATTCGGTCTTGAAGAAGTTTTAGCTCCTGTTTGAGTGAAAAACAGCCGTCGCAAAGTTTTGTTCTTTTTTCCCGTCCTCCCGACATGCTGTAAGTTAGGTAAATTCCACAAGTCTTGTGTTGAAGTTTGTAAAAAGGAGTAATCCGTGTTTTGTGGAATAAAAATGTAAGCAAAAATGATTAAAGGAGATAAAAAAGCAGCAAGCGAGGAGCAGCAAGAGAATGCGACTGCTCTGTCCAGAGCAGGAAGTATGTAGATCCATTGTGTGGTGTACATGTAGCCTATTATAAGATTGTACAGGTAGACAGACTGAGCTCATTTTATGAATGCAATTGTCATGTGATCATTTGCTTTTTACTATGCAAGAAGTACATGATATTGTGCATATAACACACAACTGGTCCTTCTATGTCACCCTGACACGCAGCTCTTATTCAAATAAACCTTTGTATTATGATATGAATATAATCCTCTTCATTTTTTGTGTGTTACAGAGCTTCTTGATCACCTTTCAGGTCGGAGGGACCGTTGGCGCAGATGTGTGCAGCCTCGCTTCTGTCAGTCTACCCCAGGGGAAACTGTGGCTACAAATGTAGCTTACCACCATCAGCATGGAGTGAATGAACCCCCCTCCCCTTCGTGTGTGAAGCACTTTGGGTGTGACTTGTATCATATAAAAAACGCTATACAAATACGATTCCCTTCCCCTTCAGTGGATCTTGTTTACATGACATGCACCATGGCCCATTACATGAAGTGCTGGTAATAAATAACATTGTCCTGAAGAACACTCTGTCACATAGGTACAGAGTAAAACTGTGCTGGCTGTGCTAACAGTTTGGACCAAACATGGAAAACACGGATGCATCTCAGTGACATACAGCTAAAATCTGTCTTTAAACCCGTCTTCCAGAAGATTGTCAAACATTGTCAGAGGCAATGTTTTTATTAAGGCTGAAAAATGGTTCAGCAAACTGTGCATGTGACAACTTGTGTTGAATTAACACTCTTCACTATTAATGTATGGAAATAATAGTTTGATGTTGTATTATGGATTTTGTTAGACTTGTTAATTAAAGTAACTATGCATCGAATGAATAGCTGTTGTATATCAACTTTGCACTTTCAGGAAATACATGACATAAAGACACTTTGGTCCACCATGTTTATGTGATGGAACTGTTGGTCAGGAATTAGGAGGCTGCTTCTTTCTAGCAACTTCCTACTGGTGATATCCGTCATTAAATGTCTGTCACACAAAATAAAGTTACATACAATATTGGGAAAATATGTAATGTGTATGTACACATCATAACAGTCATTCATATCAGATTATAACATTTCATACAGCGGGCCATTTGAAGTATCATTTACTCATTATCAATTTCGTTGATCTCAAGTATATATGAAGTATCCTACTCTCATCTCTTACTCTCACCACTGAAATGGTGGGATAAGATTTAATCTTTCTTCACTTTACTCCTTCAGGGACAGCCGACAGGGCACGGCCAGTCCAAGGAGACGGCACTTCAGCTAACAAAAGAACAATAGGCAGGTAATTAGCAGTGATCAGCCATGAATAGGACAGGACTGACCGATACTGGGGTGAGCAGGCCGTTACAGATGCTCTACTTCAAAAGTGTTTACCCACAGGTGAGAGTAGCTGGGATTAGAGGGGAGGAGCCTGGCCTATCCCAACTCCTCCTGGTGGTTTTTATCTAAGCTGCGGGCTGAGCGGGACTTTAGTCCGCTGACAAAGCCTTTTGGATGAAAGGTGAAACGTTCGAGACTTTAACTACTGAGAAGATGACTCAAGCACCTTCATTGAAGATCAACAACTCCTGTACGACTGAGAGCTTACACAGACATAAAATAAAGAAATAGTAATCTTCACAATAACATTTAGAATTATTCCAGTTATCAAATGTTTCTCCATAGAACTATTTTGGAAATTGTCATTTCAAGGACCATTTTCTCAAACAAAAAAGAAAAACAAAAAGCACACAAAAATGTTTGACATTGGTGTAAAAAATTCTCTGCCTATCCCACAGACTTACAATTTTCCAGGCTTGGACTACAATTTGAATTTACAGAGATATGTCGTTATATGATTATTTGTCTTGAATTTTTTTGAATTTTGAACACTGGGATATTGAAATTGGCAAGGCAAGGCAAGTTGATTTGTATGGCACATTTCATGTACATGACAACTCAATGTGCCTCACAGCAGCACCTAACAGATTTCCCACTAAAAACATTTTTGTAGCTAATGAAGAAGATGACATAGTCTGGGATCGCGTCTTTCATTCAGACAGAAGACATGTTTTATTGTCGATGGTAGAGACAGCACGAACAACAGATACAACAGAATGCAAGTGTATTATACAGAGCGGAGGCATGGAGACCTCCAATCAGCAGCTGCCACAGTGCCATGTAGCTTGGCCTTCAGATAGACACAACAAGGGAAAAGTACAGGCTTCTGCACATTGATAGAATGATGAGTTTAACTTTAACAAAAGTTGCTTCAAAGTGTTGAGAAAATCTCACATTAACATGTCACAGAATAAACCATACATTTTAATATGGCTAGATCTGTTATTCAGATTTCATCGCAGAAAATAGCATTGTGAAATGTACACTCACCTAAAGGATTATTAGCAGTGGTTAATTTGTGCCGGATCCTGCCGGAACAGGATCCGGCACCTATTGATTTTGGCCTCTACGTGTTCCGGGACTTATTTGGGCAGATCCGTCACCTCTAATATAAATATTCAAAATATTAATTTTAAAAAGTCTGAAAATTCATAAGAAAAAATAATTATATTAATTTAAAGAATAAATCCAACAAATTTCATGTTCTCTACTCAAATTTAACGTAATTTGGGAGAGTCGGGATCAAACCACGCCCCTCACAGAAAGTAAGGTTTACCGCGTCTGGGATGTTTACGGCGAGGACCAAATTGACCAACTGACCAAGAGAGAGGAATATACGGAGTTTCAGCGCAAACATGTCAAAAAGACAATTGAATCTTATGTCTTTTTTCAAGAAGACGGACAAGTCGCATGATGCTACTAAACGAGTGAGGAAAGCAGCAAGTGGCGATGCTAGTGACCAGGAGGAAGAGGCTAGCCCCGCAACAGGTGACCTGGTTCATAGCCAGCCTGAGTGGGGGGCAGATACAGCGCACCCGATCAGCCATCATGTGGACCCCCACCAACAACCGGAGCAAGAGGCCAGTATGGAGATATCAGCTAGCCAAGTACAGCAGCAAGAGGCGGGAACCACAACATCAACGCGCTTCTTTCATGAAGCGTCAGAAGGAGAGGAGCGCGCAGTGAGCGGAGAGGAATGTGGTTCATCCAGCGACAGGTCAGGGGGATGCGCAACTGTTTGGACTGCTGCTCAGTTCAAGGTGAAGCAGAGTTACTACCCCTGGCTTCTTATGGACAGTTCTGGTTTGGGCTGCACAATTTGTAAGGCGGTGGGGACTTTGGGGCCGGAGAAAACGGGAGGAATGAAACTTGCTAAAGAGTGGGTGTCAAGTACAGTGGCCTCATCTTCTTCTGATATTAAAAAACAGCAACGCGCGCTCAGAAAAAAAGTCTTTGAACATGCCCGTACCAAAGCTCACCTAGCAGCAGCAAGTATTCTTGAGAAGGCTAAAGAAGACACTTTAGGACAGTCTATAATTAATAGTCTGTCTGAACAGATGACTAAGACAGCTCGCGTCTTTCGCACGGCATACAAGGAGGCTAAACGCAACCGTCCCGCATATGGCTTCGAACATGAGATTGATTGCCAAGAGTTAAATGGACTCGATATGGGGAGGATTTTACACTCCAATGTTGCATGTGCAAACATACAGAAACATATTTCCGATGAAATGAAAAAGAAACTGTTTGAAAAGATAGTACAGTGCGCACCCAAACTCAGTCTAATGCTGGATGAGTCAACCAGTTTAAGCAGAAGAGCTGTTTGATCATATACATTAGAGCTCAGTTACCTGATATGGACAAGCCCACAAACATTTTCACTGAACTTGTGGAGCTCGACGATCTAACTGCTCGAGGTATTGTCAACAAACTATTAATTGCTCTGGAGCGCCTGCATTTGACCCAGGATTTTCTCTCTCGAACCCTCATTGGTGTTACTTGTGATGGCGCTTCTGTTATGTTGGGACGTAAAAGCGGAGTAGCGACCCGGCTCCAGGCCATTTTCCCCAGCATTACTCTGTGGCACTGCGCAGCGCACAGGCTTGAGCTCGCAGTCTCAGACGTAGTGAAAGAGATGGGCGCTATAAATCACTTTAAAATATTGATGGACAAGTTATATTCATTGTATAGCACATCTAACAAAAACAGAATAGAGCTGAGAGAGTCTGCTGAGAGCCTAGATATCCAACTATGCAAAATAGGTCGGATTTTAGACACTAGATGGGTAGCATCAAGTTTTAGAACCGTTGATGCAGTGTGGAAGAACTATCCAGCACTTTACAAACATTTCAGAACTGCATCTGAAGATTCCTCCCGTGATAGCATCGCAAAACAAACATACAGCGGACTTGCTATGCGTTTATCTTCACATGCGTTTGTGAACAATTTAGGCATAATGTGCGACGCGTTGCAAGAATTATCTGAGCTCTCAGTAGAGCTTCAAAAACGAGACATTACAATCATTTCAGCCCACAAAACACTATGTCGTGAAATCAGGGTGTTTGAGGCATTGTCAGATAGGCCAGGGCGCTACACTGTACTGAGCCAAAGAGGAATTGAGGAAAACTCTTTCCAAGGAATTACACTAAATGAAGGAAAATCAAGCGACAAAACACTGGACGCCAAGCCATTTTTCCAAGCTGTGGCCAAGAACCTGGAGAATCGGATGTTATCCCAAGGAGGACGGGTACCAGACAAAACGGGATATAACAAGTTCATTGAGGAGTTGAAGGTGCTTTATGCGCAGTATTGGCCCGAGGACGCAGGTGCGCTTTATGGAGAGACTGAGGTTGAGTCACTGTGTCAGCGCTTTAATATATCTGACCCACGCGCAGTCATACGGGCCTACAGAAAGTACAAAGACTCAGATGGACACGACACGCCTGATGAACTGATTGAGTTATTTACTGCTGTCAACAGCATTCCCATTGCAAGTGCTGAATGTGAGCGGGGATTTTCTCAAATGAACTTGATTTGCACTCCCCACCGTGGCTCTCTGCTCATAACCACAATATCATCGTTACTCTTCCTAAATCTTGTTGGACCTCCCCTGGCTAAATTCAACCCAGTCCCGTACGTGAGGTCGTGGGTGACCAAAGGACACAGAACTGCCACGGATACGTGCAGTAAAACCCGAAACAGAGAGAAGGAGAATAATCCGGACCTGCTCGTGTTGTGGAGCATTTTGGACAACTAAATAGGTAAGCATACTCTATATTAATAGGCCGCCGTGCCAACTTTTAAATAATAATTGGAAGATTTGTGTGATTTATTGTAAGCTCTGATTTTGTTGAGGAATTAATTTCTGACTGTATTCTGCAAGTCCCACCTGCGGTGAAGTGGGCATTTGCCTGTGTTGTGCAGAGTAACCTATAGCCTAACTATTGTATAATATGTATTATTAAGTATGGATTTTAGCTGTAAGTCCCGCAGCAAGGCAAGTGGGCATTTGAATGTTGTTTTCAACAACGTCTTTTGTACGTTCCGGCACTTGTATTGGTTTCGTTTACCTGCTCTGTCATTGTGTACTTTGCGTTCCGGCACCTTATGATTTACAAATTAAGCACTGATTATTAGGAACACCATACTAATACTGTGTTTGACCCCCTTTCGCCTTCAGAACTGCCTTAATTCTACGTGGCATTGATTCAACAAGGTGCTGAAAGCATTCTTTAGAAATGTTGGCCCATATTGATAGGATAGCATGTTGCAGTTGATGGAGATTTGTGGGATGCACATCCAGGGCACGAAGCTCCCGTTCCACCACATCCCAAAGATGCTCTATTGGGTAGAGATCTGGTGACTGTGGGGGCCATTGTAGTACAGTGAACTCATTGTCATGTTCAAGAAACCAATTTGAAATGATTGGAGCTTTGTGACATGGTGCATTATCCTGCTGGAAGTAGCCATCAGAGGATGGGCACATGGTGGTCATAAAGGGATGGACATGGTCAGAAACAATGCTCAGGTAGTCCGTGGCATTTAAGCGATACCCAATTGGCACTAAAGGGCCTAAAGTGTGCCAAGAAAACACCCCCCACACCATTACACCACCACCACCAGCCTGCACAGTGGTAACAAGGCATGATGGATCCATGTTCTCAATCTGTTTACGCCAAATTCTGACTCCACCATCTGAATGTCTCAACAGAAATCGAGACTCATAAGACTAGGCAACATTTTTCCAGTCTTCAACTGTCCAATTGTGGTGAGCTTGTGCAAATTGTAGCCTCTTTTTCCTATTTGTAGTGGAGATGAGTGGTACTCGGTGGGGTCTTCTGCTGTTGTAGCCCATCCGCCTCAAGGTTGTGCGTGTTGTGGCTTCACAAATGCTTTGCTCCATGCCTCGGTTGTAATGAGTGGTTATTTCAGTCAAAGTTGCTCTTCTATCAGCTTGAATCAGTCGGCCCATTCTCCGCTGACCTCTAGCATCAACAAGGCATGTTCACCCACAGGACTGCCACATACTGGATGTTTTTCCCTTTTCACACCATTCTTTGTAAACCCTAGAAATGGTTGTGCGTGAAAATCCCAGTAACTGAGCAGATTGTGAAATACTCAGACCGGCCCGTCTGGCACCAACAACCATGCCACGCTCAAAATTGCTTACATCACTTTTCTTTCCCATTCTGACATTCAGTTTGGAGTTCAGGAGATTGTCTTGACCAGGACCAGACCCCTAAATCAATCAATCAATCAAATTTTATTTATAAAGCGCTTTTCATACAAAAAGTGTAACACAAAGTGCTTTACAGTTTAGTTAAAAACAATCCAACATGCCCAGCCCTAAACCCTCCTCCCCACAGACCCCCCCAAAACCACATTTATAATTATATATACAACCACACACATACACACACACACACAGACACACACATACAAGTATAAAGTCACATCAGGTACAATAGGTAAAACAATAAAAAGAAATCAGAATCAGAATATTTTTTATTGCCACGTAAGTAACAGGAGGTCACAGACTTGGAAATTGCTTTGGCTCAGTGCAACAGTCAGAAAGAGATAATAAAAATAAGAATAAAAAACACTTCTAAAGAATAAATTTAAATTTAAAATAGAGTTACAGTTACTATTTACAATATACAAGTGCACATGGTGCACACAATGTAAGGTGACAGCAGTACAGTGAAGTAAAGTGACGTATGATGGGCAGTAAAGTGACAGCAGAGGGGAAGAAACTTTTCTTGTGGCGGGAGGTTCTAGTCCTGATGGACCGCAGCCTCCTGCCTGAGGGGAGTGGTTGGAATAGTCCATGTGCAGGTGAGAGGGGTCGGCTGTGATACGACCAGCCCGGCCTCGAGCTCGGGCGACGTACAGGTCCTGCAGCGATGGAAGGCTGCGGCCGATCACTTCCTCTGCAGAGCGCACAATGCACTGTAGTCTCTGTTTGTCCCTGACTGCGGCTCCAGCGAACCACACGGTGATGGAGGAGGTGATGGAGGAGGTGATGGAGGAGGTGTGAGATTTCATAACACTTTTAAGCAACTTTTGTTAAAGTTAAACTCATCATTCTATCAATGTGCAGAAGCCTGTACTTTTCCACTTCATGTTTTGACTATCTCTGCTGGCACCGTGGCAGCTGCTGATTGGAGGTCTCCATGCCTCCGCTCTGTATAATACACTTGCATTCTGTTGTATCTGTGTTCGTGTTGTTCGTGCTGTCTCTACCATCGACAATAAAACATGTCTTCTGTCTGAATGAAAGACGCGATCCCAGACTTTGTCATCTTCTTCAGAGGTAATGGAGGAGGTGATGAGGAGGTGATGGAGGAGGTGATGGAGGAGGTGATGGAGGAGGTGAGGATGGACTCGATGATGGCCGTGTAGAACTGCACCAACATCTGTGCAGGCAGCTTGGCTTTCCTGAGCTGCCGCAGGAAGTACATCCTCTGCTGGGCCTTCTTGATGAGGGAGCTGATGGTCGGCTCCCACTTGAGGTCCTGGGTGATGGTGGTGCCCAGGAAACGGAAGGACTCCACAGAGGTGATGGAGTCCATCACGGAGGGTGGGGGCGGGGGGACAGTGCTCTTCCTGAAGTCCACAATCATCTCCACTGTCTTCTGGGCGTTCAGCTCCAGGTTGTTACCACTGCACCAGGACACCAGCCGGTCCACCTCCCTCCTGTAGGCGGACTCATCGTTGTTGGAGATGAGTCCAATGAGGGTGGTGTCGTCCGGGAACTTGATCAGCTTCACAGAGTCGTGGCTGGAGGTGCAGTGGTTGGTGTACAGGGAGAAGAGCAGGGGAGAAAGAACACAGCCCTGTGGGGCTCCTGTATTTATAATCCGAGAGTCCGAGACATTCTTCCCCAGACGCACTCGCTGCTTCCTGTCCTGAAGTCAGTGATCCACCTGCAGGTGGAAACGGGCACGTTGAGCTGGGAGAGCTTGTCCTGGAGCAGGGATGGCAGGATTGTGTTGAAGGCAGAGCTGAAGTCCACGAATAGGACCCTGGCGTAGGTCCCCGGGGAGTCCAGGTGCTGTAGGATGTGGTGGAGGACCAGGTTAATGGCGTCGTCTACAGATCTGTTGGCTCTGTAGGCGAACTGCAGGGGGTCCAGGAGGGGGGAGGTGAGGGACTTGAGATGGGAGAGAACCAGGCGTTCAAATGACTTCATGACGACAGACGTAAGTGCTACAGGTCTGTAGTCGTTGAGTCCTGTGATCCTGGGCTTCTTCGGGACGGGGACAATGATGGAGGATTTGAAGCAGGCCGGGACATGGCAGGACTGCAGAGAGGTGTTGAAAATGTCAGTGAACACAGGAGTAAGCTCACTGGCGCAGTGTCTCAGAGTGGCCGGAGACACATGGTCTGGGCCACGAGCTTTGCGGGGGTGCAGCCTCAAGAAGAGTTGTTTAGTCTCTTTAGGGGCTATTGTTAGGCTGGGGACAGGGCTGATGGGTGGGTCGTTAGAGTAGTGGGGGGTGGGGGAGGGAGAGGTGTCAGGGGCAGCATCAAAGCGACTGAAAAATAAGTTCAGTTCGTCAGCTAGCTTGTGGTCGTCAGCACAGGGGGGAGCTTTGGGTTTGTTGTTGGTGATCTCCCGTAGGCCCCTCCAGACAGAAGCAGTATCGTTGTTACCAAACTGCTCCTGTAGTCGTTCTCTGTGCCGGGACTTGGCTGCTTTCAGTTCTTTCCTGAACTGATATTTAGCTGCTTTGTAGCCGCTGCGGTCCCCCTCCCTGAAAGCAAACTCCTTTGCTTTCCTGAGCTGTGTTTAGCAGTGAACCAGGGTTTGTCGTTGTTATAGATGACCCTGGTCCTTGTTGGAATGATGCTATCCTCACAGAAGTGAATGTATGACGTCACAGTGTCCGTGTATTCATCCAAGCTGTGATCCAAAGTGTTCTCCTCTCTGTCTGTATTTGGGTAATTCCTGGCTCAAGTTTCCCTTATTAAAATCCCCCAGGATAATAATCAGAGAGTCCGGGTATAAACGTTCCGTACACAGTACTTGCTCTGCGAGTGCGCGCTGAGCCTCGCGCGCGTCCGCGCATGGCGGTATGTAAACAGAGGCAAGAATGAATGAAACAATTTCACGAGGGGAGTAAAATGGTTTACAATGAATGAAAAGATATTCCAGAGCAGGAGAGCAGTGCTTCGAGATCACTGTCACATCGTTACACCAGTTTGTATAGACGTAGAAACACAGCCCTCCGCCTCTGCTCTTCCCTGAGAGCGCACAATGGCGATCCGCGCGGAACAGCCCAAAGCCCTGCAGTTCCAGAGCGCAGTCCGGGATCCGCTCATTTAGCCAGGTCTCAGTGAAGCAGAGGACACAGGATGTGGCGAAGTCCTTGTTTCTTCTCATGAGCAGGCTGAGTTTGTCTTATTGCCCAGTGAGCGTACGTTGGAGAGAAAAATGCCGGGGAGAGCCGTGCGCGCTCCTCTCCTCAGACGCACCAGCAGGCCTCCGCCTCACCGTGAGTGTGTGTCCTGACTTTGGGGATGGTTAGGAGTCTGCTGCCGGAGGAGCGCAGGGGCCGGGAAGGCTCATAGGATAAAAGCAAATCTTAAAGATAAGAAGGCCCAAGACCATTAAGACATTTAAAAACCATTAAAAGAACCTTAAAATCGATCCTGAAACACACGGGGAGCGACACGCGGGGTCCCCCCCTGGTCTTAGTCAGGCACGCCCCCTGGTCTTAGTCAGGACATGCCCCCTGGTCTTAGTCAGGACAC